ACCCAATGTTACCTCTGATTTTCTGTTGATAAGAATATCTAACAATGGGAGGTTGTTATTAGTTTCTAATTCAACGGTAAAATGTATTTTTGTGGTGCATAGAGTTTAAATGTCTAAGAAAATCTATGTCTTAAGGTATGCTTAAATAAATATATTTTGTGTTTGACATGCCCTGAAATTCGTTAGAATTCATAGGAATTTCAACAAATTTTAGAGGATGTTCACACAACAAAACATATTTACTTACGTTGAATAAACATCCCCAGACAAACCACATAAAAGCAATCGAAGAAAGAATGAAAACCTTGCCGTCATTTTACGATCTTTACAGACCTACTGCAAATTTCATTTTAATATTTTTAGTGATATAGAAAATTGGAACTGTAGTTCAGATCAGATCAAACCGATCTTTGAAAGCATGAATTAATTTGGGTATTTTAAATAAACCTAAAAAACATTACTAATAAGACCACAATCGAACCCGCGCCTTACGACATAGCAGGAAAGGCTCGGTTGACTTGTGGAAGTGGTTAATGAAGCTGACGTTTGAAAGTGACACCGGGGGTACTTCGATATTTTCTGGGTGACATGTGACTTGATCGTCTGAACTAATACATATCAAAATACTATGGCTAAAATCTACCGAAAACATTTGATCGCTCTCAAACCCGTGACCAAAATACCGCAAATGTATGAAGTGGCTCTCGGAGTTCCATTAGAATCCAACGGATTACCACGGAATTCCATGGAATTCTACTGGAATTCCTTCACACTGTACATCATAATTCCACTGCTAATGAATGTAAGGAATTTTCAAAATGAAAATATATTACCTTATTATTAGATATATCTAAAAGTGTTTCCAAAAAAACTAATCTGAAGTTAACTGAAACATTAATATATGACAATGGAACCGATTAATCTCATATTCACCGGTTAGAAGATTTTTGCCGAATCGAACGATCTTCAAAGCATGCAAGTAAATTTCACACAATTTTCACTTTTTTTTAAGCGATATTCACAAACTTTGTATGTATATTTGCATAAAATGACACCCTAAAAATACCACAGCCATGTTGAAAGCGACATGAGAAGGGATTTTTTTGACGTTCGTATCTACCTACGAGCATAGGCAAACGTCTACATTCAACTTATCTAATGGCTATATGGATGCAGTACTACAGTTAGTTTCGAGCAATACGTCGTGTACCTACTCATCATTACCATTCTTCAGATTTCGTTCCACCGTAACTTGGTGTGTTTTAATAGGCGAGATATAAAACATAGGGCAACACCGCAATTCTATATTATAAACTCCCGCTCCCTATACAGAACGGAAATTAAATTTTATAGCGACATTGAAGAACACCGTTTCGCTGCCGTCTCTTATTCTTTTACAAAAAGAGCCGCTACGAAACTTCCCGGCATTTCTGTTTGATACTCGATCGTGAAATCACTTTCATCCCCGTCAATGCCTTTTGCTTTCGCCTTGACTGTGTCGAGTTCATCAATTTTGGGAGATATTTTGACTTGAATGAAATAAATGTCTTAAAAGTCGGGAGTCGCAAATAACTGGTCAAAACTATTGCAAAAACCTGGCCAATTTATTTCGGTATCTTTGAAATAGAAAAACGGTTTATTACTAATATTGCGAAATCTTTTTAACCATATACAACGTCATCTCTTTTTTACTTGTTCAATCCGATATATAAAAATGAGGAGTGTCCTTTTTTTAAAAAAAAAATACGATTTATCAAAGTTGTTACTTGGCGACAAAAATAGATACAGGCATCCTGCATTTGGAATAGTCCGAGATTTCCGATAGATGGTGTAAATAACGAACGAGATTGAAATTCGCAAAAATATACCACACGCCTGAAATAGGTTTGAAACAACCTAGCGATAATGGAATAAGTCTTCATAGAGGGCAATCTTTCTTTCAATACATATTTTCTAATTTGGAAAATATGTACACTGAAAAAATAAATTTGTTATATTTCGTTCCTTAATGCGAGAAAGTAATACATTGTAAATTTGCAATTATATGGATCACCAAACAGGGTGAACAACTTAAAGGTTATATCGGAATGTTCAGATAGTAGTTTAAAATAAATTTCGTATGTATGTATGTCCGTTTTTAAAACCTACACACTTCGAAACATTTTTAAATTAGAGTCACACTTATTTGCATATAATAGATTGATGAGACGGGCAGATAATTTGGATAATAATTATTTTAAGCTTAATTTAAATTAAACTAACTTTCAAAGTATTCCGGTCATAATTTATATTGGGATTGCTGACGAAGGACCAACCTGTTTCCAGAGACGAGATTGACGACCAATTCGAGTAGATTGTAATCACTTTTTATTGTTAAGAAACACTTAGAAACGGAGAAAAGTCCAACAAATTAACTTAATTCCAATTCATTTTGTATTATATTTTGTATTGTAATATATAATAGAAAATGCAAATAATTGATATGGTCAACCCGTTGAAACGCATTAAAACAAATATATGATTCTTTTATAAAATAGGCTTCTTTACTACAAAAATTGTCCTTTTAGAAAAAAAGTTAGAATACCACACACACACACACACACACACACACACAAACACACACACACACACACACACACACACACACACACACACACACACACACCCACACGCACACGCACATGCACACGCACACGCGCACACACACACCCACACACACACCCACACCCACACCCACACGCACACGCACACGCACACGCACACGCACACACACACACACACACACACTGAGTGTTCGAAGTGTTTTCGGAGCGCGAGCATTGAAGATGCCAAGTGAGATTTTGGCGAAACGTCTGCAGGATTCCAGTCGGATGCAAGATTTGCAGGATTCCAGTCGGAGTTCAACGAGCGAACGGATGATATCCCGGAATATAGTGTCATCATATATATATATATATATATATATATATATATATATATATATATATATATATATATATATATATATATATATATATATATATATATATATATATATATATATTTTTTTTTTTTTTTTTCACGTATTGATTCACAGATGGAAAAATATGATGACACTATAATCCTGCAGACGTTTCGCCAAAATCTCACTTGGCATCTTCAATGCTCGCGCTCCGAAAACACTTCGAACAATGTAGATGGAGCAGCAATGGGATCATCTCTCTCACCTGTGATTGCCAACCTCTTCAGGCAAATCTGAAGCCAAAACTATGGACAAGATACGTAGATGACGTATTTGTTGTATGGCCTTTTGGCAAGGAGGAGCTTTTGAAATTCCTAGATCATCTGAATTCCATTCACCCAAGGATTCAGTTTACAATAGAAGTTGAAGAGTATAACAGTCTGCCCTTTTTAGATGTGCACATCACAAGGACCGAAGATGGACACTTGGAACACACTGTCTATAGAAAACCAACACTAATAGATATCTGAACGCAAAATCTCATCACCACCCATCACAGATACAGGCAGTGGCAAATACATTAATTGCTCCGTCCTTCAGGCTCACAAACGAGAGGAACAGAGATGAAGAACTGAAGAAAATTAGTACCTGTCTTCGATGAGGAACAGAGATAAAGAACTGAAGACAATTAGTACATGTCTTCGACAAAACGGATACCAAAGGCGCATCATCAGCAAGGCAATCAGTAAACAACAACAGCCGCAGCAGAGAGTGCAGGACGAGACCCAACAAAGATCGATCGCTGTCCTGCCATACATCAAGGGGGTACTGACAAAATAGGCCGAATATTACGGAAACACGACATATCAACGGCAAACAAACCTGATCATACCATCGGAGCAATACTAAGAAACCCAAAACAAAAAATTACTCTGGAAAACCAAGCAGTATACAGTGTAGCATGCGGATCGTGCAGCCTGACGTATGTGGGACAGACCAACAGAAGGATTTCAGCCAGGCTCGAGGAAGATCGTTTAGCCATAAGAAACAAACAAACAACATCTGCTTTGTTTCAGCACCAATATCAGACAGGCCATAAAATTGATTTCGGTACTTGCAAACAAATAGCTAATATTCAAGATTTTAGGACTAGGGTTATACGAGAGGCCATCGAGATAGAAAAGTCCAGACACCTGAATACGAGACGACGCTCTGCATTTATCCAATACGTGGAGAACGATAATCAAACAGCAGAGCGATACGCAGCAGCCAACGGGGACATCGCAACTACGATCGGGCGAAATTAACAACGCGACATTTCGGGGGGCGGAGCCACCTCCCCTCCCGCACAAGCAGCACTCCGGCGCAGGGTATAAATACCGCACACACCGTTGATAACCTCCCAGTGTTCGAAGTGTATATATACACTTCGAAGTGTTTTCGGAGCGCGAGCATTGAAGATGCCAAGTGAGATTTTGGCGAAACGTCTGCAGGATTCCAGTCGAAGTTCAACGAGCGAACGGATGATATCCCGGAATATAGTGTCATCACATTTTTCCATCCGTGAGAATATATATATATATATATATATATATATATATATATATATATATATATATATATATATCTTCCTTTATCACAAAAAATGTTTAACTTAAATTTTTAGGAATTGATGTGAAACATCTGCGAAAAAAAGCGAGTGAAATGTAAATATAAATATACCCCAGTCAAATATTTTGTAAAGGCAAATCAATTTACATTGGCTTATTTGAGTAAATAAACAATAGTCGTTATTTGTTCTAAGCAAATATGGGTTAATTTTTTTTCTGTGCACTTTTTAAAACGTTTCACAAATTCTTCTCAACACATTCCAACGTTTATTGAACAAACAATTTCGGTTAGTATTTAATAGTTTACGTAGCCGGGTGGTTTCTTTTTTTTACTCCTATTCTGTATTATTGACATAAATCTTTGAAAAGGTTTCCTTGGGGTTATTATTAATCTGTTTATTGACGTTTTCTTACTGTTGCCTTACCATTTAATTAACTAATATGCTTACCCACTAACACGTCCAGATGAATATTATTAATGTCACCTGCAACAAAAGTATCTTTAAGTTTAATGGAGTGTTTGCTAACACAGATTTTCGTAGCGTTACACCTTTCAAGACAGATGTCGATGTCTGTAATCAAAATCAAAATGCTTTAAGCCATATCAGGTTTAACAAACAACACCTCCACCTATCTTCATTTGGGGTAAGAGGAAGCCTTCTTTAGATTTCGCTTAAGGCATCGTAACTTGCCAAAGAAGCGCTTTAGGATACAAGGGGGAAAGATTGGTATTTTCCTAGCCGCAGATTGGCCCATTCGGAGGCCGCCCGGCGCCGTACAGGTGCGGATTGAACGCAAACTTCCTGATATCAGAAATGCGATTATACGGAAGAATGCAATAATTTCTTTTAGTATGGTCTGTTCATAGATATAAGAAAGTGACTAATTGCTTTTGAATGGGTTTATCCAATGATGGTCATTAACATACAATGCAACAAGATTATTACTTAAAGTTTCTGAATTTAAATTCAGGTAAAATTGTGCTCCGTAATAGAAAATAATTTTATACCTACCTGTATTTAATATTCTTTGGTTTGGTATACTACTTAATTTAAGTTTATTAGTAATCATTCTTATTTCGTATGTAATACAGCGTTTGTTGAATCGTGTGCGAATTATGCAAAATATGTGCGAGTCTAGTGTATCTCAGAAGATGCTCTCGCCCAAATGTAGAAAACACTATTCTGTTGAGACTAAGGAAATTATAAAAATGTTCATTTGACTCTCATTGAACGTGGTGCCAGAAGAAACGGCCACATTGACGAAAATTCCAACATCAACTGTACGGAAAATTGTGAATAATCCCAGCGAGGAAAAAAAAGAAGCGATGCTGACACTTTCTCGCATTGAAAGTAGATGAAAGTGATCAAGATATAATACGGGGTAAAATTTACCAGTTATACGAGGAACAAAGCGTGCCTACATTAGATATCTTAATTAGGAGGCTTGAAAAAGATGAAACCGGTGTTAAATGTGGCAGAACTACCTTATGGAAGTGTATTCAATACGTGGGTTTTAGATTTAAAAAAAATTACAAAAGGCAAGTTTTAATGGAATCTTTTAGAATTCGGAAATGGCGACTGGAATATCTAGAAAAAATTAGGATTTACAGAGAACAACAAAGGTCAATTTACTTGGATGAAACCTGGTTCGACACTTATGATACTCCGGAAAAGGGTTGGGTTGACTCAACTGATAAGTGTAAAACAAACGCGTCATAAAAAAGAGGTAAAAAGATAACCATTTTGCATGCTGGCTCTAAAGATGGTTGATTCCAAATGGACTTTCTCTGTCTGCGAAAAATATTAAAGATTCTTCTCTGGATTACCTTGAGACACCACCGCTGATTTATTTGAAAGTTGGTTTAAAAACAAACTCGTTCCAAACATTCCGCCTAATAGCATCATTGTAATGGACAATGCAAGTTATCACAGTAGTACTCTGAATTTAGTACCCCAACTTTCTTTTTATAACTTTCTAGATATGAGGAATAGGATCTTGCGTAAAATATCAACTTCTTCATCTGATTTGTCTAAAACTTGTCCAAAATTTGTCCATACCTACCGACTCTCATAATTTTCGAAGGCTGCAAAAATTATCTCCCTCAATTTTATAATTTTTTGCCACCAGAACTTAAACTTGTCTTCCTTTGCTGAATTCGTATATTTCTTGTAGAAAGAAATGTAGTATCTTCAGATAAACAACCACAAAACGCTTAAAGCATTCAACATTGATATTTTATTTATCTGACTTCAGTATCAACAATCAACTCTTGAATTAAATCGCGTTCAAAATGATTTGTAATCCAAATTCAAACGCATATATAGCAGCGTGCCAGAAAATTGCCCAAATGTACTGCCGAGTTCATCCCTGTAAGATGAATCCGACAGACACTCCGGTAGAAATAAGTGATAATATATTCTGTTAGAAGCCCGAGGGAGAAATAAAGAACGCTTTTCCTTGTGGTTCTTATCGAATTTGAAATGGGAATGGATTGCATACGTGCATTTAGTGGGATTCTATTGGTTACAGTTTAGTCAGGTGAAATATATTTATTACTTTGATCTTTCCCGATAATAAATTTTCTCATGACGAAAAGTTACGGATCTTCTTGAGGACTTGAAAATAATGGCATTATAAAGGACTTTCATCTTACGTCGGCGTATGAATGGAATGCTATCGCGTCGATCAAAAGTTTTACAAAAGTTTCACAGCGACAAGTGAAATACGTGTTCCCGTCATTCATTTTCCCCATTCAATAGTGGGATAATTAAAGAATAACAAAATGAAACAAAATCAATTATCAGATGTGTTATTTGGTAATCTAAAAATGAGAGATCTAATATGTAGCAGGTTAACTTGGCCCTATTATTATTATACTAAAACTAGGCAAATGTTCAGCCGTGCATCGAAGAAAAGATAAGTGAGCGATGTTTTGCTGATGCGGTCTTTGGATGATTCATTGTCCCGTTCATGCTCGAAATAAAATCAATACATTATCGGTGTTAACCAGCAAGATTGCTCTGCATTTAGTGATCCATCAATCGGATCTCGATTAGCAATGTCACGCGTAACACATTAGGGAATGACGGGACAGATTTTTCCATGTAAACTTTTTGCCGCAAAATCCGGAGTATTTTGACCCATGACTGACACTTTCTTGCTTATCTCTTATTATTAAGAATAAAATGTTTTTGTTCCTAAAATTAAATTTATAGCCATTTACAGACAAAAGTGCCCATTAAGATAAATCCAACAACATTGAATACCAGGTTATTAGAGTACCCAGTTATATGGGAGTTAGGGTCTGTTCATAGATATAAGAAAGTGACCAATTGATTTTGAACGGATTATACAAGGGTGGTAATTAACATACAATGCATACAAGATTATTATTATTAATTAATAACAATAATCTTATTGCATTGTATGTTAATGACCACCCTTGGATAAGCCGTTCAAAAGCATTTGGTCACTTTCTTGTATCTATGAACAGACCATACCTAACTATATTTCAATTTTTTTCGACTTGTTTAACGGCTTAAAATTTGTATAAAAAAATGTGAGTACATAAAATTTTAATTCGACTGTCAATAGCAAAAACATTACTCTAAACCATAAGACTTTAAAGGGACATAATTAAACAACACATTTTTATGTATTCCATGAGACACCCCGTATTCCTAATCAGAAATACATAAAGAAGCAATATTGAAAAACGACAATAAATATCTCCGTTCCGAGAAATTGAAATAGAGAGCATATGGGCCCAGATTTTTTGACCAATTTTCCATTTGGAATATTTTAATAAGAACCGTACACAAATATCCTTTCCGATCGGAACTTTATCAATGGCGACCGGAAACCCTAACTTTTTTAGGTGGGCCGACGAAAGCCAGATTTTACTTGGCTTTGTTGGGGATTCGAAAGGGACAAAAGAAGAAACGCTGACAAAATACACGAAACAGACAAGAAATTTTATTTGCCAATGCTAATGCCGGATGTCTTTCCATCGATGTAACAAAGTCGAATCATGTTTTTTTTATTTACGCCACTACACTTCCACTACAACCTGAGTTTTAACGATACTGTCGGAATTTAATAAAATCATATTATACCTAGAAAGTGCAGTCGAAGCTTCTCGTAGTTTCAAGCACGTTCCGAGTAATTTAAGGGGTTTACCCGAATCCTTGAGTAAACACATTAAAGAAATTACTTGACGTTGGCCTGGCTGGCAAAGAATGAATAAATCTAGACATAAATCTGCATCTTGGGGAAATATAAAAGGACCCGACGCATTTTTAAAACACTCCGTTAAGACCGAGGGACGATTTTAATAGCATATTTTACATACTTTATGGAGTAGAGGCCGGAGATAAATCATAGCGAGTCTTTTAAGATGTCTCTTAAACTGCTCTCGACTTTATCTCCCTTCTTAATTCTCCCTCTGCCGGTACAACCTCCGAAATATTGATTTTTTTTCGGGTGATATGTCATCTACATAAAGCGGAAATTGGAATCCGGATCGGTAATTCTAAAGAATTTCTGGAAATTTTCCAATAAAAATTGGGATGCCAACTAAATTTGGGTAAGTTAAATACTGCGGATGTAAGATGAAAGAATGTAAATCCATATGTTCTGAAACTCGAGAAATTTGAAGCCACTAAGCTAAACTATTGAAAGAATGCCCAATAGAGGATGAAAAAAGGTAATAAATACAGAAAATATGAATGGTTATCGAGAGCTGGGCATAACCAAACCAACTAGTTGTACCAATGAAGCTGTGGGATCCAGTCGGAGACACGGATCTAGATAAACCTATATAACTATGGAGGGAGTCCCAATAAGTAATTGGACTTATCTAAGAACTAATCTTCCAACCGTAATCCTCTAATTAAATATGTGCGTACTTACACATTTAGGAGTGTCAAGGTAAACCAAGCGGGAATCAGTCTCCCAAAGTCATGTGGATGTTTTTATTTACTTTACATGAGATTTAAGAGTTTTCCGTTATGATTTTGAGCCTTGTATTCAATCATTAACACTTGAACTAGTAAAAAGTATAGCTCTAAAATGATTTCTAGCTTATGGATCTATCTTAAATTTATCTTAGGGAGTTAGTTACTCCAGGCTACTGGTCCTGGTAATGCTAAATTAGAAGTGGTAAAAGAACAATTAAAATATGAAAGTGAAACCATCATGTAGCACCATTCTAAGCCATATGATTTTTATGTGACTAAACTCGCCCAATTTTTATATTATTTTTCCGGTGTCCTTGCCATCCGCCAGATATTGCAAGGTTCACAATACTTTTATAAAATATCAACGTCGTCATTTTGCAATTGTAATAAATAACTAACAAATAACTAAGAAAAGTGAATGTCAAGTACAAGCGGCAATTCGCCATACGAGTAGTCTAACGTGAGAAGTATAAAAATAAAATATTTTTTCCCCAATGGTAACACATAATTCTCCTCAAATTATC